CACTGAATCACGATAAATGCAATTACAAAGATCAATATACTATTTTGGAAGTATTCCCTACCCGTGGACATATAAAGTTGCTCCTGCTTCGAATTATTACCTCCACGTGGATACCTTAATAATCTGCTGACTTGTGTGCTTCCAAAGACTTCAGAGACTTTTGAAACCATGTACTGTTCTTCAGAGTGCGGTTCGTACCTCACCACTTTTGGCCTCTTGCTGGGGAACTGCACCTTCCCCTGTCATCGGAGTCCCTTTAGGACTCTGGTTTGTTCAACGTCAGGTGGAGTGCAAAGGTCACTCGTGTGCACCTTCATCACGTTACAGGTTACACACACTTTCATAAAAATCTAACCAAAACAGTTTGGAATTTTGAGTCAAAGTTGTTCGCAGATTCATCCAACCATACTGCTTGGATGACGAACTCAAGGGAAAAGTTACAAAAGTTCTCTGTTGATATTTTATTGAGCTTGGTGGTTTTGGGCTGTGATCCTTTGTATCTCTTTTAGTGTGATCATTGGCCCATATTGATTCATTTAATCTCTTTTTTTCCTTGTCAAATCTCCTGTTTTCTATTATGACTCATTTGGCGGTGGATATTTTTGCATGGCATTTACTTCAGTCTGGAAAAAGGGTGGTTTGGTAGAACTGATTCAGATGTGATGCCAGCCACTTATTCACAGATTTTCCTGAGCTGTAATGATGATGTCATGGTGTAGAAGTGTGTCATGCCGCTCACAACTTGTTCTCAGCAGCTGTTTATGGAAGAAAAGAAAGAAAACAATCTTTTATATAGCCCCTCTCAAGATAAAAATCGCAAGGCCCTTCACAAAAGAATAAAAATAAAATTTAAGTGTAAAAAAGATGAGAAAAAAAAGATTAAAAATATTTTTCAATGAGAAAAAATGTGATTAAAACAGTAAGGAAAGGGAAAGAGAAGATGAATAGGAAAGAAGGAAATCAGAGGATCCCGGGAAAGGCAGAATAGGAGCAGAATAAGGAGAGGGTAATGACGAAGGTCATGCAAATGCCAGGTTTAGGTTCCATTTTCTTTCTAATATATTTAAGCAATCACATGAATAATTACACCATGATATATTTTTATGGCATTTGTTTTAAGTTAAGAAAAATACCTTCATGGTTCACTGTTTACAGTCTACTGCACACACTTACTAAAACTAAAGGTGCAATATGTAAGAATGAAGTAAGAATGACATCCTGTGGTCAAATGTGGTTACTGCAGCTCATTTTCTAGACAAAAAGTTACTTTTTGACTGCTTTTTTGTGAGTTTTATGGTTAATCTCAGTTACAGATCAGTGCCATAATATCATTGATGATAAGGAAAGATGAGTATTTTATGGTAAATTGGTAAGTAGATAAATACATTGTCATATCTGGTGCTAGCACAATTGGATGTTTTACCTCAGGGAGCACTCACTAGTAAAATTCTTGCAGTTATATGCCCCCGGCATTAGAGGAAGTGCGGTTGTTTGCCATTTTGCTATTAGCTTGCTGTTATAGTTCTGAACAAATCAGTAAAAGTTGAATATGGAACAGAAATACCATAATGCCATCTAGTGTGTGGAGGTTGTAGTTGCAACAATAGAGCAAGGTTTCCAGCTGCCAGGATGCCAGGTTCGCTGCCGATATGTGAAATGACCAGCCAGCGCCATGTCCAGTGACAAATCAGTATCAGTGGCAACAGTTCCCTTTATTAGCTAGTATATGTAAAAATAAACCCAGTGTCATGTCTGTCAAAATAAACATTTGGTTATTTTTTTAAATTAAAATGAAGCTTTTAAAGGAATTATTATACTTTTTTCTGCACACCTCTAAATATCCTGTTGAGCTATTATTGTATTTTTTTTAAATATAGGTTTTAATTAAATTGTTCCATATTCAACCTTTAAAAGCAAGTAAAACTTCACTATTGATTCAATATTCACTTCACACACACACACACACACACACACACACACACACACACACACACACACACACACACACACACACACACACACACACACACACACACATTTTACTGTAATTTTGAGTTGTTGGTAAGCAAAAAAGTAGCTTGAAATATTCTTAGAATCGACAATTTTTTAATTCACTGTTTGCATAGTCAGTGCAATGTTAACCTCTAGCCTGCTTCACCTGATATTAGCATAAACCAAAAGGATACCGTGGCCTTTTAGGAAATAACTTCTGGGTTGCTCTTGTTTATGGTCTTCAATTCTTTGGTTTCAATATACCTTCCTTCCAACATGATTTGTGATCATTTTTATTTAGAATTCTTACAAATTGCTAATTTAAAACTTAACATCTGCTTTAATAAAAATTATTTAACACCCGGTATCTTTCCAATATGTCCTGCCTAATTCACCAGCTTGTCTGCACGTCTTTCCCCTTGCATTTTATTTTCTTATTCTCTAGCGTTGTCTGTTGACTTACCGTTTTCCCCCATTGTGAACCTTCTTTGCATTTTTACCTGTATGCAATATTTTTTTTTTACTGATCTCTTTAATTAAGCAACAGGCTCAGAGGTACGGAACGCTACTGCTCCTCCGCCACAGGAGAGGGGAGCAGGATAACTTCTGTTTACCTTCCATCGTGTTTTCAGCTTGTGCTGGGCGGCTGCGAAGGCGGAAAGACGTCACGTCAAAGTTGCACGCATGTGCTGTGAACATTATTTTACTCCAAGACTCTGAATGAGTGTGTGCGTGGATGTCAATTGTAATGATGATCGGACAAAACCACCTCTCTCAATCGGAATGGAATTTCATTCCGATCGGGCTGTATTGGATCAAAATATTCCGATTGACATGTTAACATGAAACATTTTTGATCTGATAGGGCGTTCATTTCAATTACTTGTGCTCACATAAATGTAGCTACTGCCTCTTGTTGTTTGTTTTATGGGTTGTAAGAAGTCAAAGATTTCGGCTTCTTAAACTATTATCACCTCTCCATATTTAGAAATGTATCTGATACTGTTTTAAGACTCTGTAGTTAAAATGATGCTAAACTTTGTTGCGAATAGGAAGAATAAATCTACATGTAAAAAGAAGCATCTGCTAATCAGGACTGGAGATCTGAGATTAGGCTGAAAACCATCTTGCAATTATTTCTCAAATCTCTAAGTGCGATACACAACATTTGAGCATATGGAATATAACCGTTTTTTAATTCAGCACCCAGGAAAGTAATTAAAAGATGCTAATGATAGATTTTTCTATGTGCTAAAGAAGTGTGAGTGAACTCGTCTTTCTTGGCGAACTTAATTATCTCTCAGGTAATGTATCAGCTCCCATGATGGAAGTCATTTACTGTAAATTGCAAAACATTCTGAAGATAAGACCTACAGACATTTCCACACTCAAAAACCATTATTATACCCTGGCAACCTGTCATGGATTTTATCAATATGTTAATCAATAAACCCATTTCCTGCAGCTAGAGAGAGAGAGAAGAATCAACAAGGAAAGCAGACAAGTCAACCAGTTATAACTGTGGCACATGCACGAGGCAAAATGCCCCTAACATCTGATCACAGAGTTTATTTAAACAAAGAGATAAAGATGGGAGTGAGGTCATTGTGAGAGGAGAGAGAGTCAGTGTGTGTATGAGTGTAGGGGAAGAACAGTGTGTGGGTGTGTCTGAGTGTGAGAATGCTTCAGGACATTTGTTAACAGGATTAAAGCAATGAAATATAAAATTTCCATAACACTACTCTTCTTATGTATGTAAATATATAATCTGGCCATGACCCATAGACAGAGCTCTGTCATGGGGTGAAGTTGTCTTTCAAAATGTCTCTGCATGCAGCTGGACAGCACCAGGACCAATCAGAGCAAAAAACAACATAACGTAATAATCGCTATGGAAATCAGTCAGTGGGGCAGTCCACTGTACACCATAGAAGAAGAAGCAAATATAGTACATCTGTTTTCAAAATAAAAGACTTAAAGCTGCAATACCAAATCTAGAGAACGAACTAGCTTTTAAACACAAAAATGGTCATGGAACACTCACCCCCTCCTGTCATGTTTCATCAGTGGACTGCGTCCTCTAGAATCGGAAATCTGCATTGCCAGAGGAAACGAGAGAGCGCAAAACACCAGTCATCGTTTTATATGTCGATCTGTATGTCATATTGTTGAGTGAAGAACCTCTCACACCAGTGGTGTTCTGCTGCAAAATACGTGAGCACGCAACAATTGGTGGACCCAGGGAAATGCAGCAGTTTGGTGGTTCAATCGGTGCTTTTGTTCCGAGCCGTGTTATTGGTGGAGGGTTTTAGAAAAAAGCGACAACCACCTTATAAATATATATTTTTTTATCTCTACATATATTTACAGCTTTACTATGTTAGAATGTTGTTAAAATGCAGGAAAAATCTTTTTTAAAGCTAGCTTGTTTTGTTAATTTGCTATCGCAGAATTATATACCTCAATCTAATCAAGTCACAAAGAAAAGCCAAAATTTAAATCATCCAGAGTTGATGCCAAAGCCATTTCAAATGAGTTCTCTTCCTGACCCGACACCATGTTTGTAGTTTTTCTCCGTTGCAGCTCTGCTAAGCCCACCTAACATCTCTCCAATGATAGATGCTGCAATGGAGCATAGCTAGACCAGCTTGCAGAGAAAAACCTTTTGCTATTTGTCCAGCTTTCTTGGTTCCATTTTTAGTGAAATTCCTTTCTTCGAGACCAAGAGCTTGCTAGTAGTTTCAATATCTCTGACTGTTGGAAAATAAACCAAAAGTCTAAGACATGGAAACCGCTCTAAGTAAATACCATCAATGCTTTAATCAGAAACATTACAACTTAATTGATTTAGAAAATATGTCACCAGGTATAAGGCAGAGTATACTGTGAAACATTTACTGGCCTTGACCTTCTTACATTTAAAACCCAATCAAAATTAAATTTATTATAAATATTTCATCAGCATACTGCAAAATACTTCTTGCACTGAAATGAGAACAATAAACAAATTCATTATACTCATTTTATTAATTTTCACTGCACATGTTCAGGGAAACACATGTCAATATGAATTAGTTACATGAATATCTATTGCACTATAGATATCTGTTATTTAAAAATACATGTCATGGAATGGCCTCAGACTGACATAAGAGGGTATAAATCTCTTCTTGTATATAATAGTTTGGCACATTGCTGATTAAATTTTATATATCGACACAAAGTCATGGGTGCACATCATGTACAGTACTTGACACTCAAAAGCCCAACGGCAAACAAAAAAGCCACCTGCCTCACATGACCTATTTAATTCACAACAGATAACATAATCCACCAACATGGTTTTCTGATGAGGCCGTTTTGAAAGTCTCTACTGGACTAGCTGACAGGGACAGATGAGTGAGCGATAAAAGGATTTGGATGGGACGAATGGGTGAATGTTCATATTAAAGGACGGACTTGGATGGACTGGAGTTATTTCTGACAGCAAATTAAGGATACAACTTAAAAATCACAATTCCAGCCATTAGTAGTCCTTGTTTAGTGTTCGGTAAAACTTTGCTGAAAGTTATAAATAAAACACAACACTTAAAGGAATAAAAGTTCCTTCTTCCCTGTTAGTGTTAGCCTTAAAGTGACGGTGTGTAGTTTTTACCATTAATCTCTGTAAATACCCTTCGAAATGTTGTAGTGAATTAATTAAAAGATGCCCAGTTGTTGAAAAACATAGGCAGTTTCATAACATATAACCATGAATATCTGGTCTAAAATACATGGGAGTGGGTCTAAGTCTTGGGGCGACGCCATATTGGATGCCATGTTCCCTTCTACGGATGTCTGTGAGGACAAAATGCATTTACTGCTTTGTAACAAATGGTTACAAAACTTTCACCATTAAGAAACATGTTGTTTTACACATTTACCTCTTCACTCGTTGCCAGTGATGAAAGAGAATCTGATGTTCCTGTTGTTTTGCTGGAGGTTCTGCTCCCAGTGATTTGTTACCCTAATGGCCATCTGTTTGTAAGGTCTTATTTGAACACAAAAATAATGTTTGCTTGCAGTGATTTAGGTATCTACTGCCCCACTATCACCTGAGAACATACACACTGTCACTTTAATAATAATAATATGATCTGATTGGCCTTAATACGACTGTAGAGCCTGTTGTCTGTTCCCACGATGGATGTTGTGGTTATGTTATGTTATATATTTGTATATTTCATCTCTCTGTGACTGTTCTTCGCTGGCTGCAAGACAAATCGCCCCATTGGGAATAATAAAGTTTGGATCTATCTGTCTAACACTGGTGGTGATGAAACAGGTTCCACCTGGCACATGTTTAATAAATAATACAGCAGGTTTTCTTTTTCTGGTGATCTTGGTGAAAACTGAGAACTTCGTGCCACCAGGCTGATTCTCTAAATTGGCTAGCAAAGAGCGCTTCCGTCATTGTGTGTTGTGATAACAGCATTCTTTATCTAATCACATCAGCTTATACAGCACTTGGCAAATATATGTAAAACATAAACAGGTTATTTGTACGTATGCTGTGAACTCATTTGGTTTTTGAGTTTTCTGCTGCCAAAACCCTCTTGCATTAACAAGAAAAGCAGCTTTTACTGAATACTTAGCAGCACTATAGCTGATAGAGTGAATTTTCCATTCAGGTGACAGAAAACACACGAGAGACATGTTAGACTTGAAGTATAGCATGTTTGTGGCTGTAAGGAAGACCGATGTTGTAAAAGCGATCAGGTTTTAACAGACAAAATGTTATTTGTAGGGTTGAGGCATTTGGCAGATTAACATAAAAATAGGCAATAAGCACCGGGTGAATGAGGTTTAACAAAGCTTTGTTCTTTTTATCTGCTTTTCTTTTTATGGCAGTCAGTGGGTCATCATCGGGAGAAAAAATGCAAGCAGTCCCAAAGAAACCACACTAAACTCAAAACCACAGTGCTGTGCTGTTATTATTTTTCACAGTGGAAAGCGGGCTCACTGCTCATATCCCTACCGGCATCAAATCAATTCTTTAATACGAAATGAGCCGGCTCCATTGTCTCATTAACTATTGATGATACGTCTACCACAGTGGAAGGCTCATCTACGATAGATTTATGTAAAATTAGTGAATGATCATTTCCAAAATGCCAGAGGACATGCTAATCCCATACATAATTCATCATGAAAGACCTCTGCCTTTTCAGTATGACGATTACCATTTAAGGGAATATTAACAGCTTAATTCTGATCCATCTGCTGAACGAAGGATTATTTTGGTTTGTTTATATTGTGATTTTTAATCGCCATTGGTTCAAGTGTAAGATAATTAAGCAGAAATTGAACTCTTCACACTTTTTAAAAATCACTGAACTCCACCAAGTGGACAGATACAAAGGTCTCAACACAAGCATGACTTGGTCAAACATGGTTCTCAGCACAAATACAAGAATTCTAAAACAAAACTATTTTTTATTTACTGCAAAGCAGGAAATGGTGTCAAACTATGGCACTAAATGATGAGTCATTTTTTTTTCTTCTATGTAGGCAGCAATGGTATAAATCAGCATTTGGAGTGAATACATCCAGAACACACTTCATCGGTCTAAGTCTTTTTCATTTAAATACAAGCCTTTCTTTCTCCTGGCAGATTTTAAAATGCAACTTGACTCTGTTGTTACTTTAAGCCTGACTTCACCAAAATGGCTGTAGTACAACACCTTGTTCACAACTTCAGACTTCAGCAAGTTGAAAACCTTTGGTTTCATTTCAGCTCGTTACTGTTGACTCTTCATAGAACACCGTGCACTTAAAGGTCAGAGATTCTGAAGAAAGTTGGTGACATGTAAAGATGGGAACAATAGACAAAGTTGTGAACAAGATGCAAAAACGACATCTGGAGCAATCTACTCTAATGGGCCATTCCCATCTGTACAGGGTCGGCCCGGGCCGGGTAGCGTAGGTTGTTTTCATATCCGGGTGGCCTGGTATTTTTCCGGGCCAACCAAGGCTCATTCTCAGCCCTCTTCTTGAGGGGGTCTGCTTCAGGCCGACCAGGGCCAACACACCCACTGCTGACAGCAAATTCACACCTTCCATTAGAGCAAGCCTCTGATTGGTGGGTAGAATCAGCCCACATGGGCTTAAGACAAGGATGTGTGGAATCAACCGGGCCAGGCTGGGGCCGACTGGGGCTACCCGGCCCGGGCCGACCCGGTACAGATGGGAATGGCCCATAAGGGCTGGAATATACTTGCTTTTTAACCTCATGCTGGTGCAGACAGCATACTTGCTGCTGTGCTGCACTGCACTGAATGTAGTACTGGAGTGTTCCACTAGGGGCACAATAGAGAACTCTGACCGGGTTTGTGGGGTACAACCAAAAAAATAAATGGCACCGATAGAAGAGATAAGTAGCTGTTTAATGTTGAGATCGTAGAAAGTACGAAAGACCTCTAAACCAGAGATGGAGTCCCCATGGTGAGTGTGTCTCACTCGGTTTGTCAACTCTACCTACTGGTTACTTGTATACTGCAGCGTTTGGACGTCTCATGTTAATAATGGGGGACGTGCACAAACAGCATTTTAAACCAATGCAAATTACGCGTGGCAGCCATTTTAAACACGTTGTTATTCAGCAAATATATTCTGGCCCTAAAGTTGCAAGAAACTACGTCTGAGGAGAAAGTGCAGAGACACAGTGATGTTCGAACAGGAGACATTGCCCATCCACCTACTTCCTGTCAAAAAAAGCTCACACTTCCTCTCAGCCATGTTGTTAAACTCAGCTGCATTAATTACTGCACCAAACGAGTCCGCAGTACTCTGCCTCAACTACAAAATTGTGCTTAGGAGTATGTCCCAGAAGTTTTAAGGCCTTTTTTAAATTTCAATACCAGACATTGTTCTAGATGCTAATGAGCTATATTAATGAAGTACAACAAGATGAAGGAATACATAGGAGCTTTAATAAAGGCTTACATATCCACAAATAAGCACAATCAATTCAATTTCAAATTATAGAGAGGAATGTTTAAAAGAATTGGACTGGTATTGGTGTTTTGTCTTTATTTTTTGCTTAACTCATCAGATATGTTTGTCTTTTCTTTTTTTTTAAGTCAGTCACAGAGGAAAGGTTCGCAAAGCACCAAATTATGGTTGAATATTTGAACTTGCAAGACACGAGAGTTTATGGCCAGTAGCTCCTAATCACCTAAGATTACATGTTAATGGGTGGATTTTACAGTTCTGATCTTGTTAAGACAGCTGTGGCTGCAGATATGTTGGCTGATGCTAAAAATATAGATTTTTCTCAATTTCTTGTATTCACTGGTGTACTCTCCATTTTTTCTCCTTTAAAAAGCTAAATAAAAAAACGTCAATTACCAGTGAACAATCCAACCATGGACATCATTGCGATGCGAACCTAACCCTACACAATGGGTCCTTGGCCGTTCTGTCAGTAGGAGCCATTAAGAATGAGGAGTTAGCCTTAATGTTAGTTGTGGTTAATGAAGCCACAGGTTAGCCACGGCGAACAGGGCTGACAGCCCCACAGTGGAAGCAAGAGAGGCAGAAAGAAGCCTGCCATCGTTTACCAGCCTGAAGGAAATAACCTCCACTTTGAATCCATCCTCAGTAGCCATGCAGCGGAAGACACCTTCCTTGAGGGGTGTGTGCACTACAGGTCCCAGGACACAAAAGTCTCCAGAGAAGAGGCAGGGGTAGTTCATGATGCAGTTGTCCTTCTCCCAACGATAGGTGGCGTGGAAGGAGTGCACGGGACAAGGGAGGAACACGGTAGTGTTTCTTCCCTTCACCAAAACCTCCCTGGGCGAAGTTCGACGCTGCTTTAGAGCTGCATTAAAAAGCAAATGCAAAGTACTCATTATTGTTATTCTGTAGCCATGCATATGTTTGTATACCAGGCTCGTTTAATTTCTTTTTGTGAAGGCAATGTAATAAAAACCTACCTAACATAAATACCTGCCTGAGGGACAGAGATATTCAGACTTACAGCCCGTGATGTTCCCATATTCATTATGATGGTTTATGGTTATTTGATCAATTGTAAAATTGTCTGGGAAAATAAATCACTGAAGCACAATATGAAGCTGAATGAGATGGCTCTGAGGCAGCTTCTTTATTATTAACTGTCTGGTGCAGAGACCCTTTGCCAAGCAGTCAATATGAACCCAAAGATGACTTTACACTGTGGCCCCCTTGTGGGTTAATCCAATCACAAGCTTTGGAATGAAGAAAAAAAAACTTAAGTAATTAAATTTAAATCTCTTTCTTTGTTAGATCAAATAAAACCCACTGTGGATAAAAAGGAACAAATAAATAAATTATAAAGCTTCATTGTGGGAAAATGGAAATTTCTATTGCAAAAAGGGCAATATGATAAGCACACACGTGGTAATAACATGCTGCTGCATCGTGGATAGGAATGCTTTAAAACCTTGTATCACTGGGATTCTTGTCTTATTAAAGTAAAGAAGATGAGGCAGGAGCATGCTGCAGAGTCAAGCACATCATGATGCATTATTGATGCCATGTTTTTCCTTTGTTCCACTCAATCCAGAGATCAAAATCACACGGCTTTACTTCATTTTTGAATCATGCTTACTGGGAATAAAAAGAACAAATCCCCGGTCTATTGAGAGACAAAGTATGTGGTACCAGTGGCACAACAAGAAACAGGCATCATATTGTCCTGATTAGTTTGAGTTCTGGACCAGGGCAAGGCCTAAAGCAAAAAAGTACTTTCCCACTTGGTGTCTGGACTCTGGACTCTGCTCAATTATATGATAATCATCTTTTTGGCTGCAGTTCTCCGGTAATGTTCCCATTTTAGTTTAATAAGGATACAGACAGACAGACAGACAGACAGACAGACAGACAGACAGACAGACAGACAGAGAGAGAGAGAGAGAGAGAGAGAGAGACAGAGAGAGAGAGAGAGAGAGAGAGAGAGAGAGAGAGAGAGAGAGAGAGAGAGAGAGAGAGAGAGAGAGCTTAGAAGGGCTCACCAGCAGCTTCTCCACAGATGGATGAGTTTGAATCATCAAGATTCTGAATAAGTGTCCTGTAAAAGGAAAAGAGAGAGAGAAAAAAAGCATAAAATTATTTCATAAGTGGGTAATGAGGCTTTACGGAAAACTATGGTTACGCATATATAGCAGATGAGACCATTTATTTAACAGTTATATAGGAAAGAGTTGTCAAAAGCCCCTCAGCTCGTCAAGTTTTTCTGTTTTGTACTCTAAATCGACTCAAGATGATAGAAACCAAAATTCAATCAGAAAATAAATTATTAATAATGAAAAATATATATAATTTTGGGGTTTATTGGATTTTTTTTCTTGTTTAGTATTTCAGACAAATTTGATCATGTCCGAGCAGCAGATTCTGTCGCAGCATGAGTTTATTTCATCTGACAGGATCATTATTGTACTTTTGAAAAATGACTAAAAACCTCACTCTTGTTTCATTTTTAGTATATGTCCAAACAGCCAGTAGGTCTGCAGCGGTGACATGATGTCTAACCTTACCCAGCAGTGTTGTTGTATCCAGGTGGGATGGCGATGCACTTCCTCCTGGCCTTGTCCCAGCCACAGTATGGATCCCGAGAAAGGATGCACTCTCTGCATGTGTCGCCATAGCGATTGCAATCCGCAAGTGGTAATCGCTGGACTTCCATGGCTGTACCAACATACAGGTGTCCCTAAAGACAAAACACAAGCAGGGCTGTTTGTTTGAATGTTCTAATTTGGAACATTTGGAGCAAAGTCAACTTAGAACAGTTGGTTTCAGTCAAAGGTAAATAATTATAGCTAGAATTTCATTGTTTTAACATCATAGGTCAGGGGTTCCCAAAGTTGGAGTGAAGACACTGCTGTAGGTCTGTGACCAAAAACGGGTTTATATCATCATCAGAACTCAAAATCATTGTAGAATTTTGCTATCAACACTTTTGTGCCATAATTGCTAACATTAGCCATAAATAGATTAAAATGGTATAATTGTTACATATGTTGTCTGTGTTGTCATTGCTTAGTTTAATTTGTTTATTTGCACCATTTAACCAAACACCGTTGGAGTCACAAATCTACTTGCGTAGGTCAGATTACGAAACGTTTGGGAACCACTATGTGTAAAATTATTAATTTTCTCACTTTTTATTAATGGTAAAGTGAAATTTGGTCCATTACTATATATTCCCCAGTTAGATAAGTAGGAAAAACCATTTGGCAACAGCCCCGTTATTCCCCTTATCCAGCAGTATTCCATTAGCATTAGCGTAGCATAACAATGTAAGAGAGCAAAACAGGTAACAGAATGTCTTCCAAACTGTCAGTCACTCCAAAATAGTATGGGACTCAAAACTAAGACCATATGGATCATTTGGAAGACACCTAAATGTACACAGCTTACTATAAGGCTGATCAAACGAGGCATATTTAACAAAATTATATTTAGATTGTCTCTTCTTGTCTGAAAACTGGACCCATACAAATCCACAGTTACCTGCAATCTTGGTACCAGACTATCAAATCTACAGATGAGACAGTAAAATCTAGTGTCATGGTCTGCGTCTCCCTCATGTGTCTCCTTGTATGCTCCATCCCCCTCTAAAGGATCCCATTAAGTGTCTCCTTGTGTTCCTCATGTGTCCCCTGGTCTGCAGCCCCTCCAGATTATCCCTCCCAGGTCCTGTGCTCCCGTTGGTCTCCCATAGTCAAACCTCTGTAGTTTGTCTATAAGGTTCAGCTTTTCATTTAATTAGTCTCTTTAGTGTGTCTCTTTCCCCACCGGTTTTTGTAGTATTCCTTCCCCCCTTAGAATATTAGTTATTTTGCTTGCTCTTCTTGTCTTTAGGTTTTTGCTCTTAGGTCATGTTAGTTTCCTCTCCCTGATTAGTTAATTGCTTTCACTAGGTTTCTCTCCCCACGCACCTGCAGCTTATCTTCCTCTCATCATGCCCCAGTGTATTTAACCCTGTCTGCATCTCTGTTTGTTGTTGGGTCATTGTTTTTGTCACCCTTGTCTCTTGATTTTGGTTTTTGGATATCTCTCGGTTTTGTTAGTAGGATTTATTTTTTTGTTTTTGTTTTTGGCTCCCTGCCCTTTTGGATTTAGTCTTTAATAAAGGATTTTCATTATTTTCTACCAACCCTGTGTCATCTGGCATCTTTGCATATTTGGGTCCTAACCTCCTCTTGGCTCACAACGTGACATCTAGAGGGGGTGGAGTCATGGTGTGTATAAAGATCAATATCCAGTGTGAAGTGATCAATTTAGTAAACTGTGTCTCATAATGTGACTAAACTAAAAATGACCTCATGACCCCAAATATCATTTAGCCTAATTTAAAGGACCAACACGAGCAACACAATAACTAAAACACAGCTTGACTTGATATTTGGTAGTGGTAGAAATAATTGTTCAATCATCTTTCAACATGATCGCAGGGCTATCTGACCGCGTTCTAGCACTTGCAGCTTCAAATTGATGAGATTCAGGGTCTCTCCTGTTAAGGAGCAGGAAGTACTGACAACACCTAAAAAGATACAGGACCGCTTCACAGAAACAGTGAAGCGCCTCAACTGGGATTCCCTGCTTAAAGATAAAGATGTACATGATGGAAGCACGATAATCACAAACCCCAGCACATAATTAAGGCATTTACTCGCAGGGTTACACAGGAAATCAAGAATTTGCCTCACATGGATCAATGCCGACATCCTGAAATTGAGAAGAATGTGATCTTAAGTGCTATAAAGTCTAAATCAGCTCCGACAGACAGCAGTTCACCATGGAATACAGTAACAACTATGTTGAGAAAGTGACACATTTTCTTTGACTATAACTACTGAGGCCTAGAGGCAATTCAAACTTAATATGGGATCAGCTTAAAAAGTTATTGTGAGTAGACCACAAACCAAGACAACCATCTGAACTCATTGTGGATGGAAATTGCACGAAAGACCCTGATGACGTTGCCAGGAACAGAACCCAGTTTGGTTTTCGTATGTGCCGCTGACGCAAATACGGCAACACAGTAAAAACATCAAACCCTCCCAAGCTAAAGACTTTTACGGAATGGAAGTACTGGTTCAGCATTAGTCAGTTTTACAGAAATTATGACTCAGTCTATCTGTCAAGCAGAATTTCCACACACCACTTTTAAATTAGGAAAAAAATAAATAAATAAATTAGGAAACCCACACTGCATTTCTAACTATAGACTCATGTCCAAGACTCAAGAGAAATGGATGGTCGAAGAAATCAAAGACCAAATAAACAATAGCCTCTTTCTTCATCTGTTACAATTTAGTTTCCGAGCTTACCATTGAACCAAGTTGGCAAATTACCATTTCACTGAGAAGATTAAATCATTACTAATCAGCAACAGCATTGTAGAAACAGTATTCGCGACCTTAGAAACATGATTGATATCTTACTGACCAAATTACACCCTTTCACCTCTCAGCTACTGCAGTAAAGTGACTAAGTTCCTTTTTTTCTCAGTGGTCACAGAGACCAAATTTACAAATGTCAGTCTGAGTCCTTCTCTGTGTCCAGTTTGCTGCAGTGTTACATATGAACTCCTTCACTGCCATTGATGACTAAAGTCGTCATTTGCATTTTTTAAATGTGTGGGCGTTGGAACGAGTCCCCGCACCATGAGAACAAACACCCCAGCTCTAAAGCCGATCTTGATCCGCGTACGTCACACATCACGTGATCAGGAAGCAGAAAATCCATGTGTTAGGAGATCGTTTTGGGCCGCTACTGTAAAAAAAATGAGGCGCGAACTGGAAAAGCTTCTGCCGATCGCAAATCGACAACGGATTATGAAAGAACGGATAACGCTCGAAACACACGGATTCTTCCTGATGTAAGAGGTGAGTCTACTCTTTGTTTTGTAAGTTTTGGCGTTGACATCATCATAGGGTGCTGTCACGTGATAATGAGCGACAAGATGCAGTCCTCGGAAAAGACAGCAGGTGACGAGCTCCTGCGCGTCAGGAGGCTTAGGCGACGCACTGTGCCAGAGCGTCAGTACTGACACCCGCGGTAAAACTGACATTTAACCAAATTGTGACGTTTACCGTCTTGCAATTTAACATTCCCCTCACCCCCATCCTAAACTTAACCAGCTTGCGCATGCAAAGCTCTGATCGTTGACGCGCTCCAGACATCTGAGTCCTGAGCATGGCCACAGTAACATTATCAAATCAGGTATCACCACCTCAAAAACAAATTTAACACGCGATCGTTCATGTCGGCTCATTTCCTTTTATGTTTTATGTCTTTTATTTGTGCCTGATGCTTTTCGCTGCTGTGGAGCGGGGCGCATCACCTGTTTTGTCCTCCGGTGACGCACCTCACTGATGCGGCCGGCGAGCAGCGCGCACTCCGCTGTTTTTGCGGTTGGTAGATCTTTTAGAACTGCAGTTCGAAGGTAACTCATGAGGTGAATATATATGAACCCAGGTAGCAGTTTTTCTTTAGGATTGAGAGGAGATGCAGGAAGATAATAAACAGACAGGACAGAAAAACAGTCAAATAAAAACTAGTAAGTTTTTGTACCTGGTAGTTGCAACAAACAGACACCATTGAAGGTAATCAGAAGTGAGGAACAGAAAATGAAATAATTATTTTAATGTTTAAAGCAGCAGGAACTCTGAGAGGCTGCAGGCGCATCAGTGAGTTTTCCGCCGCTGCGCAGGGGGAGGGGGGAGAGAGCTGAAGCGGAGTAGTATAAATGCAGGAACTACCGCTGTTAAAAGAGATGTGTTTAACTTTGAAAATATGGGCGCAATTTTAATTGTCAAAAACTCCAGCGAACCAACCGACCGAGGTGTGAGTGTGTGCATGATTGTTTGTCCTGTGTGTCTCTGTGTTGCCCTGCGATGGACTGGCTCTCTGTCCAGGGTGTACCCTGCCTAATTACCCGTTGACTGCTGGAGATAGGCACCAGCCCCCCCCGCGACCCTACGTGGACTGAGCGGGTTCAGAAGATGGATGGATGGATGGATTTAGACATAACCAGTCCTTACCTTTTGAGAGTCGATGGCCATCTTTAGAACAGGTCCTTCATTGTGAAACATGGAGTACTGAGATATGATGAAGACCTCCTCGCTGGTATGAAGAACTTTGAGAACTTTGCCTTGTTCTGCAGTAATGAGAGTAAATAAAGAAGGGTTGGTTTGAATCTCATTAGTCTTCTACATGAGTTTTAGAGAAAAAGCCAGGGAATGTGTATGTTACAATGAATGACTTTATAGTCTTTTGTTATAAACTCATAAGTTTACATCAAACATTCCCAATTTGAAAAGTCTGGGTAAAAACCCGTGAACTTTGCTGATTATCTTTGCAAAACTTTTTAAAATAATTTTCTGTTTGGAGGTTACGTATTTTTGGAGTAGATCTGACTACTCCATGATGCAGTGCAAAAGAAATGTAAGCAGACACACCTCACTAGTCATAAACGAGTGGACCATGCCATCTAGCTGCAGGTCGCTTCCACCATCAGATGTTTTTCTGTTGTAATAAATTAGCTGACTCATAAAATTTTACAGAAGGAATCAAAAATTTAGGTTTGCATTTAATTATTGTAAAACAATAAGAAAAGTATGGATCTAAAATGTTTTATTTAGGCATTTAGATTAAATGTTATGTATTCATAATATGCAAATGAAATAATCTAAAGCTATCATTATGTTAACAATTATGGAAGGAAACAGTATTCAAATGTCTTCATATTTTTGGTTTTATTTTTCAGTTCAGGTCATGCTTTGAAAAAAAGACAAAACTGTTGTGTACTAAGTGTTTGGGTAGCTGAAGTTTAATCTTTTACGCTTGCATGTTTGTTGTTAAATATATTTTATTGTTTTTCTGACGGTTTGAATTATTGCAGTGTCTTGCAATCTTCTCTGTCGATTTTGTCTCTGTGGTCTCAAAATTCCCTTCAAAGGTCTTTTCTCTTTGGTCCACTCAAAAATCTCAAAGCCTCTTTTTCTTTCTGTAGTGTGACAAACTAGTCCCATTTGTGAGGTTTTTTTTTCACGGTGATGTTTTTGAAGTGAGAAATCAAAACCTGAACAAAAAATCAGATGTCCCCTGCAGCTTTGGAGCTTTTTGTGATAAAGATGGCTGCTGCCAGGAGCAACCCGCTTTGGTCAGTTGGTGTGTTTTGTCTCTAAAGACACCTCACATACAAAAATAGCTACCTTTCACACTAACCCTTTGATGCATAATGGTCACTACAGTGGACGGGTACTCAAAATTGTTATTTATTTATTTTTGCTATTAAGCACAGCTGTTGAAGACTTAATTGCATTTGAGCCCCTCCATTTGGACTTCATCAAGTCAAGCCAACATGTTTCATGTTCAGAATGCACGCTGTCCACTGAGGTGGATATGTAATAAATAATTAGTAAATTATTAAATATTACAAAAAATGTTTGTTGAAATTTGTTTCATTCACATCTAAAGATGAATGAAAAAAAATCTTTAAAAAGTCATGGTTGAAGATTTCATATTTCATGCATCAAAGGGCTAAAGAGGAAAAACAAATCCAACACAATAGTATATTTTTAATCAGACTACAAGTTTTTTAGTATCATGTCTCAGAGCCCATGTTTTCAAAGAGTTGAAGAATGTAGAAATAGTTCAATGGCAGACATTCTTGTAGAGCACTCAAAATGCCCTTTGCATAAAGGCAAACTAGAAAAACAAGAATCTAAAAGAAAAACAATTTGTCTGCTGACAACGCAGCAGAAACCGGAGACCATGTCACAAACTTGTGGTTTTCGGGAAACACGTATGTCGGTAAATGTTGTCCCTCGATGTTTTTTTCTACCTGCGGCTGCACACCAACTGGCTTCTGCTGATATAGACTGGTGATGTAACATAGCAGGTAAATTATTGAGTAATCGACATAACCATGGTTTTTATACGCATGGAAAGATACATTGCGATTTAGCCGTCAGTTATATGCAATGCACACTAAAGCTACCGCTGCAGTCGCATCGCTAACGTCATGAACGAACCACTGGTCCAGATCGGTGAATCTCTCCATCTCTACTTAATAGTTATTCTTCTGTAGTGTGGAGGAATGCATGGACACAGACTCACACACTTTGCTTCTCTAAGTTAAGTGAACTCAGTCCACAGTGGATGAAACTATATACAAACAAGACAATAGCAATACACCATCGCACCAAGGTAATTACATTCAAATAAGTGGTGAGACGCAGTTACTCACTTTCACTACTACATTCCACACAGTCTGATTTGGGTGTGAGTGTAACGTCCTAGACTTTTCAAAACTGCATGTGCTTCTAGAATGCCTAGCCTCAATCAAGAACTGGATGGCTGACAGTTTTCCTCAGTTAAACAATAATTGCACCTGAAAAAACTACTGTTAGGGGTAAGAATGAAGGAAGAATGACATTGGGGTAAATATGGGTACTGCAGCCCACTTTTCTAAACAAAAAGTTATTTTCTCACTGCTGCTCTGTGAATTTCATCGCTGTTGCCAGCTATGGGTCAGTGGGATAAATGAGAGGCCACGATTTGACACATCTCATGTGTTCTCAAGTGGTTGGACACCCCTTTACGCACCTCTCCTGCTCATCTAGAATAGAGCCGCTGCCACTAACACAGAGGTCCATGCCAAGCACCTGCCGCTTCAATCAGAGGTTCCAGCTGAGCTCCAACCATCGGCTGAAGCCCCAGCAATGGAAGAAGGTCATGTGGTCTGATGAGTCCAGATGGACCATGTTCCAGAATGATGGGTGCACCAAGGTAAGAAGAGAGGCAGATAAAGTGGTGCAGCCATCATGCCTAGTGCCTACTGTACAAGCCTGTGGGGGTAGTGCTATGATCTGGGGTTGCTGCAGTTGGTCAGGTCTAGGTTCAGCAACAGGATGTGCTCCAAGAATGAGGTCAGCTGACTACCTGACTCTACTGAATGACCAGATTATTCCATGTTCTCTGATGACACGGGCATATTCCAAGATTACAATGCCAGGATTCATCTTGCTCAGATAGTGAAAGAGTGGTTCAGGCAGCATGGGACATCATTTTCACACATGGATTGACCACTACAAAGTCCAGGCCTTGACCCCATTGAGAATCTTTGGAATGTGCTGGAGAAGGCTTTGTGTAGCAATCAGACTCCACCATCATCAATGCAAGATCTTGGTGAAATGTCAATGCAACACTGGATGGAAATACATCTTGTAATATTGCAGAAGCTAATCGAAACAACGCCACAGCAACTGCGTGCCGTAATCAGAGCTAAAGGCGGTCTAACCAGATATTAGAGTGTGTGACTTTTTTGGGTGGTGACTTTTCTTGTGGCAAGACAGTGTATTTAACAGACTTCTGAAAGGGGAACAAAAACAGCTCTGTTGTTTCAACAGACTAACAAAACCGAACTGGTTGCCAGAAAGCTAATTTAGTGGGCTGCAGTGGAGACCTCCATTCCCCGACTAATTCGTAGTCCAAATGAAAAGGTACATTGAGCACACACTTGCTTCATTTATTTCTCTTTCATATAATAACTATTGATTCTTTGAGTAAAGAGCTGATTTTCAGTGCTGAACAATAGATGAGGATGCAGTGCAGTAGCAAGCTTTGCTTGGTCTGTTTCTTGTATTTATTTATTTTTTGTCAGTATTCTGAACGCGTTCCAGCAGACAAACGCAAAAACCGGCTGGAACTTTAGACACAATTGTTCGGCTTAGTCAATGCTGCAGGCATCCAGAGCGTGAGAGATGATGAGTCATTATTCTAGCCATGAGCCATCACTTTTGCAGAACAGGCTGTGCTACTATCAGACAGCCTCTGCTGCAGCTCATACATATTTGCTTACTCTTGTTTTTAAGGTTGTTTCTGTGATTGTTTCACTGAATTCAAAAGTACATTTTCTTGTCTTATGATCCACATCACTGCTGCTTTTTATTGCCTCCAAACAACTCTTACCTGTCTCATCCGTAACTTGTCGAACTGAAAGACTTGTTTTAGAAACGTTAAAACTTGTTGTCTCTCCTGTCACAGTAAATGATAATTTCTCGTTCCCCAGTGTGACTACTGTCATACCTTTTATCTTAAAGTTTCCTTTCCTGAATGCTCCCTCTGCAAGCCGCGTTCTCATGCATAATTAGTCAGCCGGCTTCTTGCTGTCACTCGCTTTTCCTTTTGTCTGCTAACTGCCTCATTTTTATGAACCTCAACTCGGTTTTTTGCTCTTTGTGTTGTCAGAGATAACGTTCTTCATGCCGCTCAGCTTATTCTCATATGTTCCTTTAATCTTGTCTGCAGCTATTTTCAGCTCTTTTATCAGAACAGTGTATCAGCACAAACAAAGCAGCAGAGGGGGAAAGGGTGACAGTGTTGCAGTCATGACATCTGCTGAGTGAATCTCTTTTTAGTTATATTTATCCAGGCAAAAGTTGCTGAGGGAACATATTCTTTTAGTCCAAATCTACCTCACTATTCTTCCACTGCTGCACAATTATGTGACCTTATTTTTAAGAGGCTTCAAAGACAACATCTGTGAGTTTGTTTTTACTTTGTTAAACCTTACACGACTGCTAACAAAATCCGTATTTCGTATCTTTACTATGATTTTTTTCTCCACCTTGCATTTTTCTCAGCCAGGGGCTTTTGTTTTCTTCCTTTCTAACCTTTAAGCCACAGTACCACACTCTGTGGAAACTAAATGGCTTCTGAGCTCAAATACATCGTCAACTTGAACCAAATGCATGCCCCTGACATTTCTTCCATCCCCGAGGGAAGCTTTCTGCTGTATCACCTCCAGAACTGAACTAAAAACCACTTTACACATGTTGTGGTCAATCTGTTGCTGAATCACTGAAGGGATATAAATCTTTTAATACTTTCAGTTCTTCTTTTTCTTTGGCAGAAGTCAGTCTGTTGATAGAAAAAATAACTGTCCTTGTTTGCCTTTGTGGAGTCCACAGTTTTCGGTTCCTTCTTTGTTGACTTTTGAGTCTCACAGTCAGACATCCTGAGATTGTTGAAGTCCAGTGAACTGCTCTGCTACTATGCAACTATACAAATTTTAAAATTATTTTCTTGAGCCAGTATGTGCTACAATGACCCTTTACAGGACCAAGCTAACTTTATTTGTACTGTACCTTACACCAGTATAAAACTGACCATTGTGCTTCACAGTCAATTAAAAACAGTACACAACATAAAAATGCATGAAAACGAATGTTTGCAGCCTGCTTGGATTAATGAAATGTCACTCAGACCCCACCACCACTTGTGGCCAGAATATTGCATTTGCAGCTGGAGTCTGCTAGCAGCACGTTAACCTGCATGTTTTAGATCATGAACACAGCTGATTTGATTGATTTAGTGATGAACCGCTCCTGTAAACACTAATGAAGGCTGGGGAGACATTTCAGATGTTAGATTAAGGTGTTAAATAGACGAACGCACAGCGAGGAGATATGTTTCATTTTCGGTTTAACCCCAATGAATTAATAACGGACACTAGGGGGTGCTAAACTGCCCAGTATCACTTTTAATTAACTGGAGTGAGAGTTTAGTTTGCACTCCCAGGAAAAACCAGGCATGTTTCTGATAAATGCCGAACATTTGATCTTCTTAGTCCCTACACCCCCAGCAGCTCCCTGAGGTCCAGTGATCAAAGCCTACTGGTTGTGCAGCACCAGGCTAAAGACCAAAGGTGACAGATCATTTGCTGCTGTGGCCCCCAGACTCTGGAACTCTCGCCCCCTGAGCCTGAGATCAGTGGACTCAGTGGTCTCCTTCAAAAAGTAGCTGAAGACTCACTTGTTCAAGCTGGCTTTTGTATGACCTTCTTCACCACTCTCCCTTTATTCTGCTCTCCCCACCTATTCCACCTTCCTCAGGATCCACTGATTTCCCTCTTTCCTACTCACTCTCTCTCTTTCTTAACATTTTTCAATCACAATTGTCTATTTTTTGCTCATTCAAAATATCTAAATTCTTTTTTATATTTTTACATTTTTTGTTTTTGTGAAGCGCCTCGTGATTTTTATCTTGAGAGGCGCTATAGAAATGATATTTTCTTCTTCTTCTTCTTCTTCTTCTTCTTCTTCTTCTTCTTCTTCTTCTTCTTCTTCTTCTTCATTGCTAGGGATCCTCTTTGTCACCAACTTCTAAACTTGATTGGATTTTTAGATGAAACTAACACGTCTCCAGTTCGGATGGGCTTCGGATAGCATCAAAGCTTTTTTTTGCAGATAATGTTATTCTCTTATTGAGCTTCTGATAGAAACTGGAACAGTTATTAACCAAGGAAGACCTTAGTTAAAGCGTGTGCTACTGATCCGGGGTCCACCCGGACAAACGCTGTTGACCCACCCCAGCTATATTAAAAAAGCTTGGTTTGATTGGAAGGAGAGGCTTCATTCAAATGAGACTCAATGTGACAAAATTATCCAAACCAAGCAGCAGAAAAACAGTATTAGGTGTGCATCTTGGCTTCACTTTTATTTATACTGTTTGGTCTAATTTGCTTTTACATGATTCACCAACCTTTTTTTTTTTACTGACGATGTCACACCCTGTCCTGTCTTCTCCTAGGTTGTAGTCTGTGTCTCCGTTAATTGCTCCCACCTCTCCCACCTGCCTCTTGTTTCCCAATCACCATAGCTCCCGTTCCTCATGTATTTAAACCCCTGCTGTTCTGTGTTCCTTGTGGTGTCATTGTTTCATTGTCCAGCGTGCGTCCCAATAAATCATTATCAGAAGTTCTACCTGTCTGCCTGTTTCCTCCCCGGTCTGGATCCACGCCTTTCCTCCGCTCCACTCCGCGCACGTCGTGACAGACGACATAACTGAGTAGAGTATCAGCTCATGTATATGAAAGAACTTTTCATCAACAAGCATTATTAATGTCTTCAATCTGCCCAAAATGAAAATTTTCAAAAGACTCGCAATGGATCAACTACTCATTTGATTGGTTCAGAGTTTTTTAGTGCAACATTTGTACAAGTTGTCTGTTTGGTTCACTCACTTAAGGCTGAATTATTTCTAAAGGAAGTGTCTCTCCATCATTTGCACAAACATAAGAGCTTCTTTGAAATTCATTATGCAGATTGATGAGCTTCACTCGGAAGCAGTCATGAATATTTATAGCTCATGCCTTGGAGGGAAGGTGATGTAATATAAAACATGAAGTAACTAAAATGCTGTTATACCAGACTTTGATGAACAAATCACAACACTGGATGAGTGAGATAAAAAATGAAATAAAACAGGAAACGTTCTGTAACAGCACAGCGCATCATTTAAGAGCAATGTTTCTCCTGGCCACATGAGCCAATGAGAATCGAACTGCTCTAGTTTCTTTGTGGGCCACCAAAGCTGTTCATAGCTCTCTCTTTTCCTCCCGACACAGTTAGGGAAGCCCACAGAGAGTGGCCATCAACGTGTCTTTTCTAACACCGTTTTTTGTCCACTAGAAAAATCCCCAAACTAGAAAGTCCGGATAAGTGACAAGCACACAGCCCCTGCAGCAACAAGAGCGACGATCAGGGTGGATCTTTCATACACACTGTGCAACAAGACTTGTGATGGCTGCCATAGCAATGCTCCAGAGACCCAACACAATTTTTAGAGTAGCTTTGAGCGACAGCGGAGGCTCAGAAGATGAAATACAAGCAGTCATATGCTGGTCGAGAAACCTTTAGGTTGCATTCATGAAGGGACAAAAATAATAACATTTAGCGTTAGAATTGCAGCTCCATTCAATTTATAATGCTTAATTTTCTGTGTTGTCTTCATTGCACGGTTGCACTTGGATGATCTAAAGGCTCCAGATATGCAAACACTGTTGATCAGATATGGAAAATTGGATTTTCCCTGAGCTAAGTGAGCATTAAGGTTGGTTTATGCTTGACGCGTCTGGGAGGTCCGCACGGCTCCGCGCGGAAAAGTTGCGTCATTTTGCGTCATCTTAACAACCACGCCGCTCCACCGCGCCTCCACACGGCCCAAAATTTCCGCAACGTGCACCTAGGAAATTTTCTAACCACGCGGACGGTCGGACGCGGAAAAACATGGCAGACCGGCAAGAACTAGTATGGCAGAGGTTCGTAAATACAGACATTTGTATGATTCAGCTCTCAGAGATCCCTGTGATCAACATGTTAAAAATTCTTGGAGAGAAATAGCTCGCACTGTCGGAAAAGACGAGGGCGCTGTTAAAAATGCTGGAATGCCATGTTGTAAACAACAGTAATTTTTACTTCTACTATGGTGTAGTGTTGGATGCATGCCGTAGAGCTCCATGCTGCCCCGTTCAGTTTGGGAGAATATTGGCTCACCGCAGAGACGAGCCGCATGAACCATAAACACTGCGAGGTGTGAAGCGCGTTCCAGACGTGAGCCGCATCACCAAGCAGAAAGTTAATGCGTCAAGCATAAACCAAGCTTTAGCATGCAGGTAGGAGACGGCACAGGGTTTTTGGTACGTTAGACGCCTCAAGCTGCTTATATTCAACAACAACAAGGTTTTAAATTCTGGCACCAATTTAAATAAATGGCTTTCAGATCAATGCAGACACCCACCTGTTCCCAGGTAAAGAACGCTGTAGTGCTCATCATTGACTGCGAGGACGATGTCGGCCACTGTGTGGGTGATTTGATCGTCTGTAGGGAGGTCGAGTGGAGCCACGCCAACAGGCTGTATCACATCCTCAATTTCTGGGTGGTATCTGATCACTCCAAGGTTTTTGATGATGTTTGGACTTTCTGCTGCTGAAGGGCTTTTGACGGCACACTGGGAAGAAAAGGGATGTAGTCATCCAGCTGGACTTTCAAATTAGCAAGACGTCTGCTGACAAAGAGCTCCAAATGCCTCACTTTTAATGACTCCTCCTTCTCAAAAATAGCACTTCAGTCCTTTTGTTTCTAAACTACAGGCTGACTCGTGCATTTGTTGTTTCTTCCAGCACAGTGACAAAACACGCAAACAGCAGTTTTTTCCTACCATCCCAGGTCGACTGCCAACAAATGGTGTGCTGTAGCCTTTCAGCTTAGAGGTGGAAAAGGCTTGGTCAATGTCTTCGATGGAGTAGGCGCAGATAACTGTTCTGCCCCTGAAAAATGGATAAAAAACATCTTGAAATGCACAATGCAAGTGGTTGTTGGGGCAACTAAATAGCCATACACACTTAATGGTAAAAGAACCGACGAGAAACTCAAGTGGCTTGTTTCAGGAACTAGAAGTGAGCCACATCAGAGGAGAGCTGAACACGGCAGAATTTAGAGTATTTCCTGATATTTGGACATCTCTCCTGTAGCTGTGCTTTTGGACAAGTTGATATGCTCCAGCTCACCATGCGTTGGAGAAAAGGCCATACATGACCCCTGCCCTCTTGTCCTGAGCTGTTAGCACCACTGCCTGCTTCATGTTGTTGTACTGCAGCTGAGTGTTTCCTGCACCGCACATCACCCGGGTTTTCATGAAGGTGGTCCAAGAGTCTGCCAGCACGGGTTTGATGCCACCTTCATCCACCTGGAAGTGACACAGAAGAGATGTTACAACACGGTCATTAAAGGGGCGGCCAGGTGGCCAAATAACTTGTGGATTCTTCTTTGTGTTTGCTGCCAAGTTGCTATTTTGACTTGAAACCATGCTGTGCAGCAGAACCATTATTTTCAAAACTATTTTACCTGTTTGGAACCTTTGATAACAACAATGCTAAAAATATTGTCACATCTTCATATTAAAACCAGGAAGTGGGAATTTCATAAGGTGATTTTAGATTTCTCATTCACCCATTATTTAATGATAATGAGTAATCCTGCTGTTTTCAGCCCACACCTGCACCAGCAAACTGCTGCATCTCAGAACAGGAGCATCATAATTTTTATTTAAACAACTCATAAGGCACTGATTTACACTAGAGAACACTGCAAATGTGTTGAATAAACGAGAAACCCCCACCTTTAAATCCTATTTATTTGCTCAGTTTTACCAAATATCATTCAAACATTATTCCTACCCACATTTACAGAGAATGGCCTCGGCTGTGGCTCTAGCAGCGCTAAACACAAAAAAGGTGTGTCCGTTATCCGGTTTATCTAAAATGATGTCAGAGATTATTTCTAGGTTTTATAATCAGGTCCATCACGGTGTACCTAGTAACAGATTACAGTCATTTTCATGCCCCTGCAGTTCGAGGTGAATCATGTTTCTGGATTTAACACATATGAACAAAAGACTCTAATATCCCCACTTAGCTCCCAGTGAGCTAGCTAAGAAGTGTGAACGAATCTAAGGCAGTAAATAAAAATATTCCACAAAAGGGTGATGTTTGTCATTCATCAGCACAAGTGAAAAACCTCTAATTTAACCTTTTCTCCTTTCATTTAGCTTGAGATCTAATTAGAGTGTGAGTCGTGAGTCACGCAGACCAGCAGGTGTTTTGCCTTTCACTGCTAATTAGAAAACACCTGGTTTGATATCACTGATTGCAAAGTTTCACAAAAGGAAACGTCTTCTGAAGTTTGTTCCCTAAGCAAATCAGTGGCATCTTTAAACCCTTACATGATTAATACCAAACCAGATGAATCTACGTATTGTGTTTATTATTGTGTCATATTGTTCTTCCCTCCTGAGAATCTGTGATTTTTTGTGAATTTGACCAACAACTTGTCCAAATGTAATCCAGAAGTTTCGCATCCATTCTATTTAAAAAGCTTCTGTCTTTATTTATTTTTTTATTTAGTCTTCAGTTATTTTTATTGAGCTGTTTTTCTGTCAGGATGATTCCCAGAAAGAGTTCTCTACAGGGATTTTGAGTGCTTTGATGCTTAAATAATGTATTCTCCGGTATGTTTAAAGCTCTGCTGTGTTGAGCAACCATGTGTCATGGCCTGCGTCCTGCGTACCCCTCATGTGTTGTCCAGCCCCCCTCTAGGTTCCCCTTATGTGTCTCCTTGTGTTCCCCAGCCCACTCCAGGTTCTCCCCTTAGGTTTCTGTGCCCCTGCTTGTCTCCAGCTCCCACCAGGTTTCCCAGGTTCACATATTCTTTAGTTTTCTTTGTATTTATATTATCTAGCTAATTTTTCCCTGTAGTTTCATAGGTTCCCTTTCATAGGTTCAGGTTTTCTTCTAGGTTCCTTCCTTGGTCCTTCCCCACCGTTTTTTAGTTCTCCTTTCCTCCTTAAATCGTTAGTTATTTGTCTTGTTCTTCTAGTCTTTAGGTTTGGTAATTATTCATAGGTCATGCTTTATTTCCCCTCCTCAGCTTAGATTTCTCTCCCTGATTAGTAAATTGATTTCACCAGGTTTCCTCAGTTTCTCTCTCCCCCACACACCTGCAGCTCATCTCCCAATCATCCTGCCCCTGTGTATAAAACCCTGTCTGCGTCTCAATGTGTGTTGTTGGTCCATTGACCTTGTCAGCATTGTTTTGTCGTGTCCCCTCCTGCTCCTCCTCCTCCTCTTCCTCCTCCTCCTCCTCCTCCTCCTCCTCCTCCTCCTCCTCCACTCCACTCCACTCCACTCCACTCCACTCTTAGGCCTCTAGGTTTCTGGCTTCATGCCCTTCTAGGATTTATTTTTTGGCTTTGCGTCCTTCTAGGTTTTGTTTTATATTCGTCATTCTTAATAAAGAATGTTTTCCTTTACATCCTCTCCTGCCTCGTGTCGTTCTGGGTATCTGCGCATTGGGTCCAACTCCTCCAACCCACATCGTGACACCATGGCAACAAGACTTGTTTGCATTGAGGAAGCTTTCTAGAGCCCAGCTGGCGCTTAGATTTAAACCCTAAATCTCTGCTACGATGAAATATATCAATTTACTTTCAACAGGCCTCACATTTAAAACACACACACACACACACACACACACACACACACACACACACACACACACACACACACACACACACACACACACACACACACACACACACACACACACACACACACACACACACACACACACACAGTGTTGGGCAAGTTGCTTCCAAACTGTAATGCATTGTTTATTACTTGTTACTCTTATTTCAAAGTAATTTGTTGCATTACAATATAACTGATTTAAAGATGTAAGGCATTACATTACTTTTGCATTACTTTAAGTTGCTCTTACCAAAATAACCTCAAATATGAATGTAGCAATCTAAATGTAACTCATGAGGCTCTTTGAGCTCATTAAACATCCAGCAGAAGGTGATGTAATATCTGGCTGAGCTAGGATTGTGGTTAAAAACAATCAGCTTTAATAACAGTTCTTTAGGTGTAGCGCGTCAGCTACGAATAAAGTAGAAAGTACAAAAAAATAAAAGCGGACATGAACGATCACCTGTTAATTGTTTTCTTTCGGTGACGTGACTTTGAGAATGTTACTGAGGTCGTGCGCAGGATGCAACTGCCTGATGCGCACGAACCATCAGCACTCTCCGATCTCTCCGCACAAAATAAGTCCCCGAGCACTGAGAGTCGATAAATAATGTAATATAGATGGAAACTGGACCTCTTTTTGGTCTTCACATAATTCAAACCCTGAAGAAATCCCACCACTTGATTCCAGGTTAAAAATGCATTGTAATGCATTACATCACTGACATTTGTACCGAGTAAAATATTAATTACTTTTACAACTCTGTATATATATATATATATATATATATATATATATATATATATATATATATATATATATATATATATATATATATATATATATGTATATATATGTATATATATTATGTGTGTGTGTGTGTGTGTGTGTGTGTGTATCCTTTCTTTGCAGGATTTTTTACCGTGCAGATTCGTCCAATCCGTGCCCTGTATGGCTCCTCATCCACCCTGGTCGTTTTGTTGAATTCAGTGAAGAAGAAATAGATCTCCTCCTTGAACTTTTCGGAGGAAGGGATTATGGCTGCACCAGCAAATTGTGCATCTGATGATGAGAATAAACTAAACCCATTAAAATGTCATGCAAAAGCTAATAGGATGCCACATCTTCACCTTGTCTCAACCAAAATAAACGAAAAGTCTGATCTGACTACATTTCTATATTTATAATAAACTGTTTTGACAGTACTAATAATAAAAAGACACTGTGGCGATAAGCAGGTGCATAAATGTTTGATCTCAGTGGAAAGGTTACTGACGCTATGAGTTCTTTTCCCCTCTGAGACTGATAGTAGATGATTTACAGAACACCACCCACCATCTCCATATGCATTTGACTAAACCTGTGTAGCTTCTGCATGACTCCTCTCCTCCTACTCACTCAGCAGCCAAATGTTCTCCGTCTTCAGGAGTTTCTGTGAGCCAAATGTTCGACGGATCGAGCCAGGATGACCTCCCACCGACGACATGGCAGAATACAGACTCCCATCTGAGACAGCCAGGGCGAAAGAAAAAGATGCACAAGAGAAGAGAACAGTGCATAGGAATGTGAAAAGAACAGAAAAAGATAGAGCACACTTGATGGATTGGTACAAGGTAGATAGAGGGGAGTTGGTGGGATTTTAGTAGGGGACTGACTGAAGCTAGAGAAGAGGACAAAGCAGGAAAGAGAAATAAAAGCACACAGCAGAAAGGGAATCTCAAGAGGACAAAAACATAAAAAAGTCAAGATCAAAAGTGAAGAAGACATTAAGGCGGAGTACCCTACTGCATAAATGAGCTCCTACGAATCACCATATTGCAGCTCTGAGCTCTGTCTCCATAGCAATGCAGATGGGGATTCGTCTGTAACACCCTAATCAGGACTGATCACTATTTGAACACTGCTCAGCTTAAGCAAAGGACCAGCTTATTGAATCCGCAATCATCCCCCACTTGGAAGAGCACCCTGCGGTGAAAACCAGACCCTCACTGATTTGAGTGCCTCTTTAAACAAATCTAGATTGGATGGTTCAAAAGGCAAGCAGATTCAATGTTTCTCTCCATGCTACATGATCACTAAAGGTCAGCTTTAATTAGAAGCATTTCTCTTTTCCTAATGTGATGCACAGCTTAAAAACGACACTGTCAGGTGTTTCATTTGCTGTGGGTGAGGGGTGGTGGTGGGGGGGATAGGATACTAAGCAGTTTAACTTGCTTTTAGCATCCCCTAGTGTCTGCTATTAATTATTTGTGGTCAAAGCAAAAGTGAAACTTATCACCTCGCTATGTGTTCGTCTTTTTAACACCTTAAGTCCTTTTAACACCTTAATCTAACTGCTGAAATGTCTCCTCAGCCTTTATTAGTTTCTAGATCATCACTATATCAAACAAATCAGCTGTGTTCATGATCTAAAACATGTAGGAAATGTGCTGGAAGCAGACTGTAGTACCAATTATATCAGCTGATTTTTTTCCAAGTCCAAAGATGGCGTCCTGGCACTCTAAAGATGCAAATGTGGTATTCTGGCCGCAGTGGGGGTCTGAGGGACTTTTCATTAACCCTGTAAAAGGTCATTTTAGCACATACTGGCTGAAGAAAATTATAAAAAGTATATGAAAAAGTAGCTTAGTCTGCCTTTAAATACAGAAAATGTGTTTGATCATTAAAAATGCAACTTTCTCAAAAATCATTATGGAAAAAAGTCAAAAACTGTTTCTAAACTTCTAACATTTTTCATACATTAAATTACCAGATGATGGAGTTCATCCATGCTTTCGTTCTTTTTTAAACACAGAAACAGTTTTGTTTACCTGTTTGTAGCTACGGTTTCGCCGACAGCTGCCGGCTTCTTCAGGCTGACGCTGATGGTGGCGCGTCACTTCCTTCTCCGTTTATCTGCGGGCAGCAGAGGACGTTGTCGCCCTCTACTGCCCGCTCTCCCTTCTCCGACGATGCAGTCCCATGCGTGGTCCAGCGTGTAAACTCCGTCGTCCCTGTTCATGGTCCCACATCCACGTCTCCTTATCTCTATTGCTTCCTTGTTCCATCTTTTGTATTTTTGTTGTTCAGTGGTTATGATCCATGTGCTGTCCCAGTCCATTATATGGTTTTCTCTTAAGCAATGATCTGTTACGGCTGACTTTTTTATTGTACTTTCTGCTTCTTCTTTTGCTGCTCTTGTGTGTTTACGATTTGCCTCTTTCTCGCACTCCTTTCTGTGTTCTATTGTCCGTGTATTGAGTTGGCGTCCGGTTTCTCCTATGTATGTTTTATTGCATATTTTGCATGGGATTTCGTAAATGACTCCACATTTTTGTCCAGCTGGTATCTTGTCTTTTGGGTGTACTAATCCTTTTCTAACTGTTGTGTATGGCTTTGTTGGTGTGTTTATGTTGTGTTTTTTCATTGTTGCTCTTATTTTTTCCGTTATGCCTCTGATGTATGGTAGGTTTATCACTGGTTTTGGTTCTTGTCTTTCTGGGTTTCTGGTTCTTTTTTTTGGGTTGTTCTTTGCTTTCTGTTTTTGTTTGTTGTTTTCCTTTGTTTATTGCCCATGTCGGGTATCTGCAGGTCTTTAAAGCGTGTTGTATGTGTTTGTCCTCTTGTTTACGGTCTCTCTCTTCTGTTATTATGTTTGCTCGGTGATATAATGTTCTGATTACTGACATTTTGTGTATGGTGGGGTGTTCTGATGTCCCTAATAAATATTGGTCTGTGTGTGTTGGTTTCCTGTATGTGTTTATGTTTAGGGTCCCGTCGGTCTGCCTGGTGATTTTCATGTCCATAAATGCTATGCTGCCTTCTGTTTCTAACTCATAAGTGAATTTTATGTTGCCCGTGTCGTCAATATTGTTTAAGTGTTGTGTTAGTGTTTCTGTTTGACCTTTTGGTATGATTTCCAGTATGTCGTCTACGTAGCGTTTCCATAGTTTTATTTTGCAGTTTGGGGGGGAGGTGGCTATGGCTTTTTGTTCCAGGTCTTCCATGAAAAACTCGCACAGGGTGGCTGATAACGGGTTACCCATGGCGAAGCCTTCCAGTTGTTTGTATATTGTGTTGTCGTATGTGAAGTAAGTGGAGTTAGCTACCAGTCCTATCAGTTGTGCTATGTCATCTGCTGTGAGGTTTGTCCTTTTATGTAAAGTTTTGTCTTGTCTGATTCTGTTAACTACTATGTCTATGGTTTTTTTGGGTTGGTGTCAGCGAAACCGTAGCTACAAACAGGTAAACAAAACTGTTTCTGTGTTTAAAAAAGAACGAAAGCATGGATTTACAAAGACACAGCAAGAACACACCTAAGATGTTCAAAGATGGAGTTCATGTCTTCTTGAAAAATGTAAACCAACTTCAGAGGCTAAAAACAATGACTGAATGATGACAGCCTTCCAGAACATTCTTTTAATAAGTGGGATTATCACTGAGCTCCTATTCACTTGTTTTTTTTATGCATTTGCTGTGGTCTCTAATATAAATGGATTCCTTGTGAGTCAGTCCCTGTGGGGAAAAAAAGCTCTGGTGTTCCTGTTTCAGGAACTAGATTTGAGTCAGAGCAGAAGGGAGCTGAGAACAGCAGGATTTGGAGTCTTGTTTACTGACATTTGGACATCTCACCTCTGATTGGCTAACAACAATGCGACTCTACCACTGACTCTGCAACATTGATGGTTTATCTTCACAAATAACACAAGCCTGAAGTCATTCTGACATTCTGTTGAGTTGCTAATGCTAATGCTTAGTGCCTACTAGCGGACACATGCTATGCCCTCTCCTGGACACTAAATCAACAACAGTCTTTGCAAGCCAAGATGGGTGAATCCATGATGCTAGATTGACAATATGACGTGCTAACGTCACTGGCTTATTTAATATATCATTACATTATACACACGCACACACACACACACACACACACACACACACACACACACACACACACACACACACACACACGCACACACACACACACACGCACACACACACACACACACACACACACACACACACACACACACACATATATATATATATATATATATATATATATATATATATATATATATATATATATATATATATATATATAGCAAGCGACTTGGAGTAAAACGATTTTCTCCCCTCTCTTATGAATCAAGGGTTAATAAAAAGAGTCATATAACTCCAAGACACTTCACGTGTGTCTGATTCTGCTCCAGACACTAAAGAGATAACTAAATCTAAAGGTGGTTTCACACTTAAAATAAGATACTGACTCTAAAACCTCCTGAAGTAACAAAGCCACTAAATAATTTTAACACTTTATTTAGGAAAATGATTAAATTCCAATAAAAATATCATTGTTAATGGTTTTACTTGCCTTACTGCAGCAATGCTCATTAATGTGATCCATCCTCCCGTGAAGTTCATTATAAGTTAAATAATTTTCATCCTCTGACGTGATTATTATGTCTGAAGTGACTTGGACTGCTCTGTACCTTGAAACGATTCACGCTGTGGATTTTCCTTCACTTTAAAAACACGGGAGCCATTTCACCTCAGTTGCACCATGCTGCTCCCGTCTAAGGTTTATTAAATTCTGTCACAACTTGTGGCTTCATGTGAAATTTTCTACTCTTTTCCTCTTTCTCTATTTTTAGACTTGTGGAGGAAAAAGGTATATTTTCCTCCTTGAGTTTATTAGTGTGTGTGTGTGTGTGTGTGCGTGCATGCGTGTGTGTGTGTGTGTGTGTGTGTGGGTATGTATATATGTATATATGTGTGTGTGTAAATGAACATGTGTGTGGGTATACATGTTCTTATGTGTTTTTAGGTATTTTTATTCTCATTTATTGTGGTTGTTGTATGTTTTAGAGAGCGAACGTCTACCGAAGACAAATTCCTTGTAAATGTACTTTTACTTAGCCAATAAATCTGAAATCTGAAATCTGAATCTGATTACCTGCAGGCAAGTTGATTGACCTCTGTGAAGGGTAGGGTGGTGAGATGTCAGAGGGTGATCCTATGTGCCCAGCACCGTGGACATCTGTCAGCACTGAGTCGTTTACCTGCAGGAGGAAGGCAGTGTTCAAGGTCTTGGTGTTATATGTTTTTACTCCACACTTGCTGGATAAACCTCAATTCATCCTATGTTCATTACTTTGTGAAAATTGGAATGGATAACTCCTAACCTTGATCTCACCGGCAGAAAAACACAAGTGAAGAGGCAGATAGATTCTCCTCATAAACCGAGACTGCTCAATTTGTGGGAGAGAGCACTTGCAGCAGCTAAAAGAGAAGCGTGCATGCTTGAAGACATTTATCTGAAGATATTTACCAGCATCCAACATCTGGGGCTTCCAGCATTTGTCCCACATACTATGAATGTGTCATTTACTTTCTGGAGGACGGTGATGAAATTATCACACTCCATCTGTCGAGGGAGAGAAATGTGAGTGAGACAAAAAAACGGGTAAAGAAGGCAAAAGGCAAGGGAGAGAAATGCACAGATTTTTTTTGGATGGATTAAAGATTAGAGTAGAGTGTGCATGTGTGTGTGCGCTTGTCTGTGTGAAAAGGAGGATTACATGAAAGAGGAAAACGAGGAACTCACAGAGGGACTCAAACAAACAGAGAGAAAGATGGCAAAGCAAGAGAAATCAAAGGGGATTGCTGAAAGGAGATTGGGCATCATTCGTGCTTGTGACATTTTTGGCAGACAGCATTGAAAGGGCTTTGGACCTGCAGTACAATGCTGCAGTGCTGCTTAATGCACCACTCATTCATTAGGGACAGAAAACGGATGTTACCAATTCACTATTTTAAATAGATGTTGCTGGATGGAGCAAATTAGTTGAAATATTTATAAAATGTGTGTTTTGTGACCTCGTATAAAGCAATCGCATCGTAAGTTCAGATGTGCCTCTGGTGACAAAGAAACAGTCTTACTAAGTCCAAAACCTGAGCATGTAGGTGGATATGTAGGCAGTTGGACAGGCGGCTGTGTGGGCTAAGATTTGAGTTTATTTTGCTTCTTGTTTGAGCGTGTAAGATTTCTCAGGAGTAATAATGTGAGTTTGGGCAGGTTTGTGCAGTTTCGTTTGATTGCTCACAGTTGGAATGAGCAACAAGGCTTCGGGTGACACTGCGGATATTTGCTATCTGGCAAAATTACGGACACTCCAGCCTCAAACTGCACTTCCTCAGATGAACACAAGAAATCGTGGATGTTTTGTGCTCAATCTATTTAGCTAAAATCCCCCGAAAGTCTAAAAATGAAAGGTTCTGAGTAAAATATTTGTCAGTACTTTTCTAAAATGTATGTCTAGTGCCAGTTGTGGAGAAAGTATTGATCATGTGCCAGTTTGGCCTAAATTCTTCAATAAACGTTATCAACCACAGCTCCTCTCCAAAGCGTTTCTCATACAGGGGTAAGTAACAACACACAAAACCACCACATGAAAAAAAGTTCACTGTGTTTGCATTTAGGAGTTTATAAGTTGTTCATCCCGTTTGTTCCGCTACAAATGAATCTGAACCTGAGGGAAGCCTGCTGAACAGACGATGGTTGGGATGAAGAGTGTGAATGTAATAGTCTTCACTCTACTAAGACAACTTTGGGTGGCGACTGAGTCCAGTGAGGGGAGGGAGCAGCCGATTACTTTTCCCACTGCTCTAATGACCCTCTGGAGACTGTTTTTGGCTGCTGAACACAGTTATGGCACATCAAGTCAGACTGCAGCCCACTTCACTTCAAGATCCTCAAAAAGTGAAGCCACTGGTGAACTTTTTTTAACCAGAGCAGATGTGTTTTTTGACTCTGAAACATGGACTCCAAGCAGTCTGAAAAAGGAACCCTTTCCACATGGACATACTTGATGCAAATGGAGGGCGGAGGAGTTTTGTGCTTGAAGAAGTCTACTTGGTCTTGTTGATGTTAAAGAGACAGTGTGTAGGTTTTACCATTAATTCCTGGAACTACCCATAAATGTTGTTGAAAATGAATGAAATGATGCCCAGTTGTTGAAAAATTCTTCTTCTGGTTCTTGGAGAGTACAGACGCTTTTTTCCTCCTCTCCTCCCTATCTTATCCCCAAGGCTCTTTGTCTGTCTTTGGGTGTACGACGCTTCTGCATTTTTTCTGGAAACTGTCATGACTCCCAATCTTTCAGCCTTAATGCGGCACACCTGGTCCCCTCATCAAGCTCCAGCCAAGCCCTGTTTCCCTAGCAACCTCAGTCTGCACCTCATCAACTCCATTCATCTCACCTGTTCCTGTCATCAGCCTCATTCACCACACTTGTTCCTCCTGCTTTATAGAATAGAATAGAATAGAATTAAACTTTATTGTCATTGCACATGTACAGGTACAGGGCAACGAAATGCAGTTTGCATCCATCCAGAAAGTGCTTTAGCCGTGATATAGATGTATTACAAATTTATATGTTAGCAGTAATATAGATGGGTAAGTATATTACAGAAATGGATCTATTACGTATGTTATAATGTACATGGTATGAAGTATGTTATGAATATTCTATGACTATAAGTATGTACAGGCTGTAGTTAATACAAGCAGTCCATGAGTTTAATGTGGGTCATATGTCAGGAGGCAGAGTTCAGGAGTCTGACAGCTGTGGGGAAGAAACTGTTCCGGTACCTGGTGGTCTTAGTCCGGAGGCTTCTGTAGCGCCTCCCAGAGGGCAGCAGGGTGATCAGTGCATGTGATGGGTGACTGTGGTCTCTGATGATTTTCCTAGCCCTTTTCAGACACCGCTTCCTGTAGATGTCCTTTATGGCAGGAAGTGGTGCTCCGGCGATGCGCTGGGCAGTTTTCCCGACCCTCTGCAATGCCTTCCGGTCTGAGGCGGAGCAGTTCCCATACCAGACTGTTATACAGTTGGTCAGGATGCTCTCGATGGTGCAGCGATAGAAGTTCACCAGGATGTCTGAGGACAGGTTGTTCTTCCTCAGAGTCTTCAAGAAGAAGAGGTGCTGGTGAGCCTTCTTGACCAGCTTGGAGCAGTTGGTAGTCCAGGTGAGATCCTCGGAGATGTGGACTCCCAGGAAGTTGAAGCTGCTCACACGCTCCACTGCCGTCCCCTCAATGTGGATGGGTGGATATGGGTCAGCATTCCTCCTGTAGTCCATGATGAGCTCCTTAGTCTTCTCAGTGTTGAGCAGCAGGTTGTTTGTGTCGCACCACTCAGTCAGACGGTCCACCTCCTCCCTGTAGGCGGTCTCATCGTTGTCACTGATGAGGCCAATCACCGTGGTGTCATCTGCAAACTTAATGATGGTGTTGGAACCATCAGCAGGTCTGCAGTCGTGGGTGAAAAGGGAGTAGAGGAAAGGGCTCATCACACAGCCTTGTGGTACAACAGTGTTCATTGTGATTGTTGATGAGCAGCGGTTATCCAGTCGGACATGTTGAGGGTGGTTGGTCAGGAAGTCCAGTAACCATTTGCAGGTGAGGGAACTGATCCCCAGGTCTGTCAGTTTCCTGATGAGTTGTGAGGGGTGGATTGTATTGAATGCTGAACTGAAGTCTATAAACAGCATTCTGGCGTAGGTGTTGTTGTTGTCCAGGTGTGAGAGGACAGAGTGCAGTGCAATTGAGACTGCATCCTCTGTGCTCCTGTTCTGGCGGTATGCAAATTAGTGGTGGTGCAGGGTGGGGTTGGGGGGGGGGGGGGGTGGCAGGATTTGAAGTGTGCTAAGATCAGCTGCTCTAAGCACTTAGTGATGATGGGGGTGAGTGCTACCGGGCGGTAGTCATTGAGGCTAGATGGGTTGGAGTTTTTGGGTATCGGGACGATGGAGGTGGATTTGAAGCAGGCTGGTACCAAGAACATGCTCTGAGAACATGCCCAGGGATGCCATCAGGGCCTGCAGCCTTGTGGACATTGATCCTGCTCAGCACCGCTCGTACATCGGTGAGGGAGAGAGTCAGAGGTTGGTGGTCTGGCGTCATGTCTGTTATGGTTGTGGTTGTGAGGTACCCTCGCTCAAAACGAGCATAAAAGTTGTTGAGCTCGTTGAGGAAGGAAACACTGGAGGATGCGGGGGAGGGCTTGGTGATCCTGTGGTCTGTAATGGTCTGGAGTCCTTGCCACATGCGTCGGGGGTTGGAGTTGGAGAAGTGTTCTTCTATCTTCTTTTTGTAATGGTGTTTGGCTTTTTTGATGCCCTTCTTTAGATTAGCCCTGGCTGTACTGTAGGCGTGTGCATCTCCTGTCCTAAAAGCGGCCTTCAGTAGGAGACAAACATCCCGGTTCATCCAAGGCTTCTGATTGGGGTACATGGTGATCCTTTTCTGGGTGGTGACACTGTCTGTGGTTACGGAGATGTAATCCAGTACAGATGAGGCGTACTGGTTCAGGTCTGTGTTGGTGAACATATTCCAGTCTGTGTTTTTAAATCTGTCCTCGAGCACCGCGTCTGTCCGCTCTAACCATAATATTATTACATTACATTATAAGAACCATCCAGCTATCCAGTCATTGCCAGATTATTGAACGCCCTGCTAGTAAATTCTCCAGCCCGATACTCACCTTGTCTTTGAAGATCCCGAACCCTGCTCCATCCCCGTTCTCGCCTTGTGGATTACCCTGTCTGCGCCGCTGCATCTCCTCTGGCTCCGATCCTGTTCCGTCCCCGACCTCGCCTTTTGGAATTCCCTGTCTGTTCCTCAGCATCTCAGATCCTCTGGCTCCGATCCTGCTCCATCCCCGACCTCGCCTTTTTGGATACCCTGTCGAACTATTCCCACCTCAGACCTCTGGTAACTCCACTCCTAAGAAAGACTTTTTATTTTACTCACTGTGTTTGGCGTCATCATGTGTCGTCCGAGTTCAGTTCATGACAGAAACTGGTAATTATTAAAAATGGACCTGGTCAGATGGTCTCTCAATGCGACTGACAACATTTTCTCAATGATGAGAACGGGAGAAGGGGCTCTCGGGTGCCCCTCTGGGACAGATCCAGTTGGGCATATCGTGGACTCCTGGAAACAGTGGAACCTGATCTGCTTATCTCAACTGTCTGTAGAGGATTCTGAAGACGTATGGATATTCGTGGTGTTGTCAGGTTCTCTGCTTTTTGGCCTGGGAGGTTACCTGGCTTACCTGAAAATTAACGAGCTGTCGAGGAATATTGGCTCTTTCCCAGAGCTCAGGGATGGATTACACCACTCTGTGAAAGCACAGACTCATATAATTGTCGAGATGAGTTGTAAGCTTGGAACTTTGGCTGAGATTCAGACTCTGGCACAAAAGATGGATGCGATCAAGGAGCGAGTGGACGAATCAGCACAGATTGGGATAGATTAATTTATGCCATTATTGGATTTTGAGAGGTTGAGGACCAATGGGACTTTAAGACAGTGAAGAAATGATCTCTGTCTGGCCCCAAAACAATTTCTTATCTGAATCT